CCCGTCATAAACAAAACTGGCACCGCTTAGAGCACGGACTCCCGCAACTGTTGGCTCCGTGTTGCAACCAACTAGCGTGAAGTTGCCCAAGGTTTCTCTGTGAAAAGGGGTCTCTACTGCTGCAGTGCTCGTGACTGTTTGTGATGAGGTCACAGTCGGGGTCCCGGTAACCGGCGGATCAGGATCATCAATACTTGAACAGAGCGAAGCTGGCGGGGCATCAAAGGCCTCGCACGTTGCTCCTAGCCCACTGGCTGCCTTGAAAGCATCTCGTGAAGCCGATTCGCCAGTTCCAGTGACCACGTCGATCTTGGTAGCATAATCGAGGTCTCCGAGTCCTTCATAGGTACCCGTATAGAAAGTGTAAAGACCGACACAATCACCCTTCGTCATAAGTACGGTAGCATCATTTAGGGTGGGAACCGGGCGAGTTGGGATCCCGACGGGGGTCTTGTATGACAGCTGTAGATTGACGGGCTGAGAGTTTAGATCATTGCGAACCTGTTTCGGAATGTCAACACACTGTAGTTAAGCCAGAGATGTTCGACTCACAGCAGCCACAATGCTCAGTTTTCCTTCGAGTAGACAGCTTTGGGGTTTCTGCATTAGAATAGCATCCTGGACGGGATACGAGTTTCCGTTGTTATCATAAGCCTTGGATGTTCCACTGGCCATATTGACAGTCAAGGTGAAAGAGGAAATACCCGATGAGGTTGGGATTTTAACACTAATCGGGAACCACTATAGAAGATTCATTAATAAGTGAAATATAAACCATAGAGACCCTAAGGCAGTGCGATGTGAACTCACCACAAATGTATCGTCGAAGCCCTGGGTCGCACCTAGGAGGTCGGCTGTAGACGTGCAGCCTAGGGTGCCACAATCGTCACCGCCACTCCGGTCCTTGTATGTTAATGAAACACTCGTGGCACTGTCGGTTCCGAAGTCAGTGGTGCGAACTCGAATCAGTCCAGATAGCTGCAAGGTAGAGGCTCCGGAGTTCAGTGTGAGCTGCATGTCGACTGGTTTGACGGCATAGGGCTGAATAGGGTCGGTGAGGACGACTCCATCAGGAACAACCTCAATCATTTTGCGCAATACCGTGGCACAAACACTAGTGAATGTCTCGGGATCTGTCAAGGTGGATATCGTCACGTTTCCATCCGAGTTAAAGACTTTGAAGTCGGAGTTTCTCGTAGCCTTGATCGAAGGACCCACGACCATAGGATTCGTTGTATTACCCGAAACATATTCGGTAACGACCCTATTGTCAAATTTGTCCACCGTAGAGTCCATTGGGCCCTCGCCATCTGCTGTAGTTCCCACGGGGACGATTTCAGGGAATTCGGTAGCGTGAACTCCACCAATAGTATGACCGCACGCAACAACCTGAATCATCTCGGTCTGGCTGAAGCCCATGCGGGTGAACTGCTGCTCGAATGTGAAGACTGAATTTTGGGGCAGAGGGACACCGATAGGACCCGCTGCTGTGGCATCAATCCTACCGCTAGTGATGGGGACGACTGGACCACCACAAGATCTCACGGCATAGTACACACCCAGAGCTAGAAGGTCGGCCACACCTGACTTGCTTGTATAGTAGTCAGCCATGAAGGCGAGTGTTGTATTGAAGGCCGGGCCAATATTGTCTGAACTTGTGATTTCGTATTGTAATGACCCATCCATCCCACCTTGTCGTGGGCCGCCGGCGATAGTGGTCGTCGCCATGTCGTGGAAAGCAGCTCTCAACCACTCCGCGGCGTTGTGGCGTCCAGGCCCTGAGGCTTCGCTTGAGCAGGGTATAACAGTTCCACCAAATTGGCGGGAGCGGTACCCTTGCACTTGATACATGATCTCTTCCAACTCATCGATCTGAGAAGGCCATGTTGGATCTGTTCTTGCTAACGTGCTCAGCGAGAGCATCGCACCTAGGAAATGTGTACTCCAGTGCATGGTGAGGACTCGGCCTGGAACGGGACCAGGATAAAGCAATATTAAGAATTATTAATGAAAGAGAACCATCCTAGGCTGGCTGAATTACGAAAATCGACGCAGATAGAGAATGAGTCCAAACATGTTCAACACCGGAGAAGAGAAAGGACTTTAATACTATAATAAATTGCCAGTCATATTGGTATGTGTATGACCTTGTATACTAGCCGTCATGATCGATGGTGGTCCCTGTCGACCCCTGCTCAGGTGCCGCAGTAGGGGAGATAGAATACGAGCGAGAACTGACAAAAGTGGCTGATAGGTGTGATAGGATTGGACGAGATGCTGCTGGCCATCCAGCCGCAAGAGGTGGAACGAACGACTAATGCAAGCCAGCAACAGAAGTGAAATGGAGACCGAGACAATATGTGCTGCACATACCCTGCGTGGTAGGTGTATATGTAGTAGGTAGGTATGCAGTGTCAAGGAGAAAGATGTGATGTTACCTAATAATCCACACGTGGGATCTCCAGGGTCCACGGGACAAACCGAACTAAACAAGATCTTTTTTCCCGAACTAGGTGCCATCGAATCCCGGTCACTCGTCGAAGCTGTGTGGCACTATGGATTCTATGGATTCTATGGATGAAGGGTTGGTGGTTCGCTTAGCGTAGGTATCCGGGACACCGCACCGTCATAAAGCGGCCAGACCTCTCACCTCCACACCTTCAGCATTGTGGGGTTCGGGCTGCTCAAACCATGGTGCCTGAGGTGAAATATTGGTATTCAGGTGATAGTATAACGATCCTAGGCAATAGTGTACTTTCAGCTTGCGTACGTATACCGTACTCTAAGTGTTCGACTCCGCAGTGTAGTCGGTAGCACGCAGGGCACCTATCTAGTGTAGCGTATTACCATCGGGTTCCTAGAAGACAACAGAACCAAAGCGTGCTTGAACGATACAACCGTTTCTATGTTTGAAAGCATCCGATATCAGGGTTGCGATGGTGGGTAGTACTCTTTTTGCTAGAACAAGTTAAGATGTGCCAATGAGTTAGTAAAATAGTACGACGACACAAACCACTCATATGGGCATCGGCAAATAGACGAGAATATAGAAATAAGAACGAATACTAAACTTTGTAGTCTACACTACCTACATCTTGAGAGAATGGATCGAGGCGACCTAAATCCGATCTAGGGTCGGAACGCCCCAACGGCTAGCCGCGATTTCGAGGAACCCCCAGGGGTGTCTCGGATATAGTGTATCCTGGCCCGCAGCTCACCTGGCTAGACCGCGCTAGGTTGATCTTTAAGTGCCCATCCCTGTTGCCGTTGTCAGCTCGAAGAGTTTTCCATGTCGCTCACCAAGGCGACCGAAGTGATATTTTGTCGAATCCAGAATAGTTTGGTCTTACATTAGCCATAGCGTTGTAATCGCTTGTCAATAAGCACTTTGCTCCAGGAACGGCTGAACAACGCCTATGTAGTCCTTTTTATTCCCCATACATGAGTACGGAAACGATTCACACGTCCAGGCGATGACCATTATTGGTCCATATTCCGAAATTACAATGAGCCCTCTAGCGTGAGCCTTCAGATCTCAAATGTGAACTGTTATCGCCATGTGGTTAATGTCTCTCGAAACATGTGCTACTGTTGGAAATAATGTCGTTGTTGTGGTGCCACGAAGTGGGGGATCCCAAGTACAAGAGACCGAGACAGGTCACAACAAATATATTATCAGACAAGGGCGGTCAGGTCAGCACTAGGAGCATTGGCAGAAGATCAATTATTCAATGTCTCAAGCTCTACACCAATACGGTATCTATACTGCGTAGGTACAGTACATTTGCGTTCCCGTGTCGCTATAAGAGTATCAAGCGATATTGTACCTGACAGGAGCGGCACAGAAGGGATAAGCATGGCGTCGCGTACCGATCGATTTAGAGAAGCTGTGCATATGTCGTATGGTACGCCATTAGAGACTACCTGAAGTATATTAGCCGAGCTACCTAGTACCTAGGTATGCTGCAACACACCATGATACAGCCGTAGATGCCGACGTCGTCCGACCTACACTAGACTCGCTACCTACTTGCACTTCTCAATATCACACAGTGGTTGCTAAAGAACGGCAAATTATGCATACACGACCACTAGACTATCGTATTTAGTGTATACTAGTGTAGATGAACTGTTCCGACATGCATCCGGCGTCTGTCGGGTCATCCGGACTGCTCGCTAATTTATTCGCAACCTTACCGCTGTTATCACTTAACCCAGTGATTGCAACTTCAACACAGAGTATAAGCAATGTTTTCTACACGGCGTTGGCCAGACCGTCAGCAATGGTTCGAATGCAACAAGCAAACTGTTGCTGACAGCAGCATGGTATCACTGTAACCCAAGTCGGACGGCTGATGACGGCACCCTAGAAACATAGCGAGGTCGACTTCTAGGACGTCGACCTACCTATTCACAGTAGACTAGTTGAGCAGGGGTATGCCAGGAGATTTAGCAACTCGGTTTGCATTCGGATACGTACGGATAAATTGCTCGAGTATGTTCTCGGGGAAAGCTGGTGTTGCACGGCAGAATATGAACATCAGGGCTGTATGACAAAATTACTACGGTATACGCATGTGAACGAGGACGTACCCCTGTCGACTGCCCTTGTGGTTAATGGCTCACCGTTATTGTTACGGCTGAGATGAGCGTGTGATGCTGGCAGCTCGTATGGATGCACTCCTGTTAATGTTTGCTGACTACTGTTATAGAAGGCTCGTGATTGCCTGCGCGAATGGCGAAGAACGAGCAGCGATTTCGATGGTGTCGCATTATTATATTACCACCTACCCTCATAGTCGAAAGCGTGGAACATACAGAGTATGTATACATATACAACAAATCAGCAACAGAGGAGCAGACCAGTCTTTATTACCCAAAATGAAGCGGCCTTAATTTTGACTCCAAAGGAATTTTATGATGAAGTTAGCGATTAAAAGTCCCCAAAGACTAGTTAAGGCCAGAGGAATAAAAATAAATAAAAGTTAATCACTAATTCACTCCGAATCGGGGAATCGAACCCCGGGCTTGACGGTGACTTCAATCTGGTAGAACAGATATGAGAGCGTCAAATGTTAGCCACTACACCAATTCGGATTAATGACGTTTTGTTTTTATTTGCCATAGAGTAGGTATGTGGAAGTACATAGATTACGTAACTAGGTACTCCGTACACTCAATGTAGCCGCATCCTTATAAGGATGATACAACATACGTAGTAGTCTCGGGACAGTTAAGGATGCAAATACAGAGTATCCAAAACTTTTTCCATGTACAATCTGTGTTTTCTCTGAATGGTAGTGCATGATATTCCCTATATCACAGATCCTTGAAGCAGGAATCTGTACCTCGATCATCTGAGTATCTACTTATCTAGTGTGTAGCGTACCTACCTAATGCGGAGTGGTGGTGTGGCGTCAAGGCTGCACAGGATAAACCTCGGGGAAGATGGTGGGGTCCCTTATCGCGGCCTATTTTGGGTTACCCCACCCTTTGTCTTCGTCTATCACTTTACCTGCTGCCAAACCACCATATCTCAACTCCATCTAAAGAACTAGCCCTGCTTTAACTTTAGAATATCGTGCTGTGCGACAGACTTACTCTCACTCCGTCATCCTCCAAGACCCTTGAAGACTCAGTGTTCTAGATGTCCATCGAGAACCTTAAGACCTTCGGTATGCAGCCCTTGCCCTAGGGAAATGGCACTCTCACGGCCCCGCTAAAGTAATCCGTACGCCTAGATCCCTTCCATGATGCTGAGGCAGACGAGGACACGAACCAAGTGAAGAGTCAGCAAGAGGACTACGTTCACATTCGGATCCAACGTTAGTGCTCCCGTCGTGGCTGCTCCATGTCCCATTTTGCGCGGCGTGACTGATCAACGTAGAGCGTAATGGCCGAAAGACCTTGACCACTGTTCAGGGGTTGCCCAATAAGTTTGACCGAAAGAAGATTCTCACTGTCATCAAGAAGCAATTCGCTTGCAATGGCACTGTCGTGATGGATAGTAAAATGGGTGAAGTTATTCAACTCCAAGGTGACCAGCGCAAGGTTATGCGTGCGTGTCCCCTTGTCAGACACTTTCAACAACCATGATCAATCAAACTAACCCTGCGTAGTGGATTTCTTAGTCGACTCCAATGGCCTGGAGCTCGACGCTAAGAAAATCAAAGTTCATGGCTTCTAGTCCCAATGCCGGCGTGAATAGTGCTGATGCTGAATATTTGCTCAGCTCTGAAATTCCCTCGGTGACAGTCTTCCATGCACACTCCATGGCCATGAGAGTATTGCTGGGAATGAAACCCAACGTTTCGCTCTGCATATGGTGAGGGCTGTGGCGAATAATTTTTCATACGAGATAATGATCAATCATGAATTCGACTAGCCCCGCGAATCACTCAATGTACAAGTATCTGCGCTTGACGTTGTATCTACTTCGTTTCCTAACAGCCCTATCATTGCTATAACCCTATACTATTAGCCTATTAATAATAATGAGAGAGGATTGCCAAGTCTGAAGATGAAGTGCAAATGGAATTTTTAGCCAACGCGCGACGTATCCATATTCACACCAAGATTATGCCGCGCTGCTATGAGATATGCTAATTAAATTTCTGGTTGAGACGTCGGCCGGTGTGACCTTGAGAGTGCATCAAATGTAATCAAGATATAATCGGAATGGGAATCCAACCTAAGCCACGCCGCTTTTAGCCTGAGCCCGAATAAAAATCTGCATAATCTGTAATAGAACATATCATTATTATCCATAATTGCACAAAAGCTAAGACCGTTTATTGTAAAACGGATTCCAGTATGTATTATAGGATTGTCCGTTTGAGCGACTACCTAGGAAGTTGCTCGAACATAACAGACCACCAGGCAAGATCATTTATGCAGCTTACAGAAATGAACGTATCTGGCGACATAAGTTGGGAAGTGCTAAGTCACATGATGTTCCTCGGGACACCACTGCTACTAGATACATACACGTATCTATCTACCTAGACACGAACGGTGAGATTATGCGGACATAAAGGTCCATGATGTGGACATAGATCACATAGTTGCGGACATCACGCAATGGAAAACATCATCGGGCAAGAGGCACAGTGATTAAGGCAGCAAAGGTTCCTGAATATATTGATACTATACCGAGCCTGCGGCTGCTAATACATCTTTTGCATTAATCGTAATTGCCCACTTTAGTACTATTATTTCCGTTAAACTCCCCAGTTATCCCAAACATAACCTGGTCTGCGCTGAGGTGGGTATTAGTGCAATATATAGTTCGACCAATATAAATATAAATGTAACTAAAGGAATAGCATACAGTCCTGTATTAAAATTTCCTAATTTTCTTAAAAGGAAATAAAAGAATGCAAACGCTACGCCTATATAAAGTACGATATAATAGGCAACAACAGATGCTTGGCCTTCGTAAACCTGGAGGCGAGGTGGACCAGGCGAAAAAATGCCATATCGTTCGGATATATGCAATACTTCGGATTGTATATAATAGCCGCGGTTTGCTAAATCGAGAAGAACAGGGTTAAGTTGGCCGTTAACGACTTGATCGCTCCATACGGACCATTCGATAGGCGCGGGTTCAAAAGCAGCTTTAGAAGTCATCGCGACAGAGGTGCCTATTATTCAAGTACTACCTAGGTAGTTAGTCTTTTGATTTATGTACTCATTGCCGGCTTAGTAGGCTGCTGACCTTTGACTTGATTTAGAGTTTACCAGGAAGTAAGGGGGGGCTTCTTAGATAATGTTTTAGAAGGGAAAATGAGAAGATCTCCGAAGGGGCGTCTTTTTATTTGATCGCCGGCTTGGTGGGTGATTTTGAGCTTTGGCTTGATGTGGAGTTTACCAAGGAGTAGGGAAGGCACTTGGATGATTTTTAGAAAGGGATAATAAGATCTTTGAGGGGGTCAGGAGGTATATATATATACATGCCTAATTGTAAACTTTCGCTCGAGATAAGCGTAATGAAGTAGAATAGGTTCGAACCTTATCCTCTCGAGCGCAAATGGTGCGGCTACAGTCAGTTATACGCTGGTAAGCCCATAATAATAAAACTAAAGTACTCGAGAATAACTAAGGTTGACTAGGTAGCTTGGTTACTATACCACAATATAGCATTATGTCGAGCACGGAGATAGGTAGGTAGTTACTGTGATTAGTAGACTACTAGGTGCGTTCGTTGGTACTGTTAGGTATGACTACCTAGGTGCATACCTTAGTACTTATCTTCTTGCATAAGGATGTAATGCATACATAAGTAATACCTAGTACCAGAAGCGGGTCCGAATGAAAACTTCACACGCCCTTAAACCGACTGTAAAAAGCCATCAACTTTACGAACTAATGTCTTTAGCATATAATACTCTAAAAAATAAATAAAAATTATTAAAATAATCTTTAAAAAATTATCTATAAGTTAATATATATATATATATATTATAACTAATAAAACCTGTTTTATATTAGTAGGAAAAAATAGTGTTATTTTTTTATTTTGTTAAACTTTTAAAATAAGATAACAAGCTTAGTTTGTTTTCTACAAATTCGAAAAAAATATAAGAGTATACTCGGACTTTAACTCTAACCTATTACTTAATATTGTATTTTTCTGATTTTATCTGGTTATTTTCTAAGCGGTTAAAGTGGTCAAGTTTTGGTGTATTCAAGGGTATGTGAAATTTTCATTCGGACTGGCTTCTGCTAGTACCTACTCACTGAGCAAAAGCGGCAAGAGGGCTGGGATATTGGTGCGATATAGTATGACACTTGGGCACGGACCGGCGGGATTGGTAGACAACTGGCCACAGTGGCGCAAACGAATCGATTAACCCTCCACTCCCACACAGAAAATTAATTTGCGGACCTCAACCGTCAATTTTCGACTTGAGAATTATCACCAACCGAATCTCTCCAGACCATCCACCACAGAGTCGAGGTACGCACGCAGCCCATACCCGCCGCCCTCATCCCCGAAAACCAGTTTCGATCGCTCAACCCTACATTTTGCGATCTTCCCGTCTTTTGGTTTCTAGGACTGACCTTGCTCTTGGAAATAGCCCAGCGACTTCAAGATGGCCTCAAGACCGACCGTCACCATCATCGGCAAAGATGGTGCTCCTTCAGGAGCTACCCATCCCATCCCCACCGTCTTCGCATCTCCCATCCGACCCGACATTGTTCAGCAGGTCCATACCGGCATGGCGAAGAACAAGCGCCAGCCTTATGCCGTGAGCGAGAAGGCCGGCCACCAAACCTCTGCCGAGTCTTGGGGAACTGGTTAGTCGCCCGCTATCACTATGCTGTAGTCCACGACATTGGGTGGCCATTCGTAAGAGCCGGGAATAGCATTGGAGTGCATGGGCATTGAGTGGTGCATTGAGTGGTGACGTGGAAGTAATTGCTGACAATGTGACGCGCAGGTCGTGCTGTTGCCCGTATCCCCCGTGTCTCCGGTGGCGGTACTCACCGTGCTGGCCAGGCTGCTTTCGGTAACATGTGCCGTTCCGGTCGCATGTTCGCCCCTACCAAGATCTGGCGCAAGTGGCACATCAAGATCAACCAGGGCCAGAAGTAAGTGGGCCTTCTCGAATACTTACACTGTGAAACTCGTTCGAAGCTGACAATGAATGGGAAGGCGATTTGCTACTGCCTCTGCTCTTGCTGCCTCCGCTGTTGCCCCTCTTCTCCTGGCCCGCGGCCACCGGATTTCTAGCGTCCCCGAAGTTCCCCTCGTTATCGACTCCACCGTTTTCGAGGGCGGTGCTGCTGCCAAGACCTCCAACGCTTTCGCCATCCTGTCTGCTGTCGGCGCCTCCGCCGATGTTATCAAGTCCAAGAAGTCCAAGAAGCTACGAGCCGGAAAAGGCAAGTTGCGTGGCCGCCGTCACCGTCAAAGACGTGGACCTCTTGTCATCTACGACCCCGAGGTTGATGGCACTGAGCTAGTGAAGGGCACCCGCAATTTGCCAGGTGTGGAGACTAGCTCTGTCTACGCTCTCAACCTTCTCCAGCTGGCCCCTGGTGGCCACCTCGGCCGATTCATCGTCTGGACTTCGGCTGCTTTCAAGGCCCTT